TTTTTTTTCTTCGCCATTCACACCAGTTTGAAGATCTATTTAACTGAAATAATTAGAACGGGAAAGTGGTGTAGAAGAATGATTTGCTGATAAGCTGTGACTGATGGGATAAGAGAGAAATCATGTTGTTGCACCGTTAATTAAACTAAATATACCCAAAGTTGCCAGTGATCGGGCGAGGATGTGACAGTACAAGATTCTGCAGCAAAAATTTCTGAATCGACTATGCATCTGTTGTTCTCAGTTGTCAAAATTAGTAGACATTACATTTTGGTATTTTCTGCCGTAAAAGTATACATTTATTTCTAACTCTTTTTTTGGCTTTAAGACTCGCATGAATTAAATTGAATAGCAGTTTTTTGCTGAATAAACCTTTATTGTGACTAAAAATTTTATTAAGTTAAGCTTTTGTCAAGAAAAAACGCACAAACTTCGTGAAAAATCTAGTAAGCCATTTTTCTTGTAGATTATTTTTGACGAAATGCAGTTCCTGCTTTCTAATGATGCTTTCAGCACTTAGCATTGTTGCTGTCGGTAAAGCATACCGGTTAGGTGGTGATAAGTCAACGAAGAAAACCAGACAACTGTTATGTGGCAAAAAAAGTAGAAGAAGGCTACAACAAATATAATGAACAAGTTTCTGAATTTAAAGGACAAGTCTTGTCAGAGTTTAGTTATTTGTCTTTCATTGTCCTTGAGTGTCTAGCGGCGACTGCAGTAAAAAACAGCGTTATGCCCCGGTAGTTTATAGAACCTCAAAGAGCCTTACTAGTAGTTTGAAATCAGTGTTTTTTCATTTTCTCTTTAGTACACTCAAAATTCCAAGATAGACTGCTTCTAGTCTTTGTCGCTTTGGGCGGTAGTAGTGGCTGAAGCAGTGATTAATACCTCAGTAAAGTGTTGCTTTATATGACTTACCAATGTCATCATATCGATCGCTGCTCTCAGCTAGGAAAACAAATTTAACCTTTGGCACTTTTTTGGAAACAGAAAAAACCCA